GCTATCACATGTATGTAAAATGTAAGTAGATATGAGTTCAGAATTAGTCAACTGAATGAGTACGAAGTAACCAATATAAATTGAAATGTCATAATTATTAGTCACAAGTACAAACGAGTAGAGACGTCTGCAGAATTTTCATATTAATTCATCGTATAAATGCTCTCCGTTACAAAACTTGTCTTCAGTTTGCATTTTCATTGTATTAATTCATCTCAATTATAATATTTTAGCTGAACCACTGAATCTCATATTACTTACATAAGAATTGATCACTAAATTGTCTGCATCATTGCTTATACCATCAGAATTGCTAAAATAATCACGGTTAACAATCAAGTGAAAATGTAGTTCCATTGTAAAGAATTCTAGATAAGGACTGTGAAATAAAGCAGGTTGTGTTCTTTCGCTCTCAATGATTCAATCATAACCATATCACAATTACGGATTAGCATAATATGAAGATCATTAATAAGATTTTATTGTGTTATCATAATTAATTATAACTAGTCAAAGCTAAAAAACATAAAATCTAACAACCGTAGAATATGTCTTTGCCCTAACTTGTACATAAACTATGGTCAAATCAAGTCAATCAGAAAATAATTATTTAAACAAACGAGTTCGAAATAATGTCGTTGTTAAACTACACTAGCCGCCAATTATTTAGTACTATGCATTAATCATAAACCAAAAGTAATAGAAATAACTACTTGACATCTAAGGAGGTTTAAAACACAGTCAATAAGAAATAACAATTCAAAATCAAATACATTTCTAAGTACTTTCTTTTCTTTTTTGACAAACTAAATCCAATATGATCTAAGTAGTATCGGAAAAGTTTGACTTTTTGTCCTCACTATTTAATCGGTACTACTAGGCAAGAAGTTTCATCATCCACAGAATACATTTAATTAATTAAGTCTTGCATTTTTCTTTTTACATATAGAATAATAATATAAGACATCACTACTGTCAAATAGTACACAAGAACCAGCTTATCGCTCAAAAACTTAAATGATAATAGTCTAGCAAAATTGAAAAAATGTTTACACTCATTATAGTCATTAAATAAATGATCAAATTACAAATAATTTTATTTTATCAGATGGGTTTTGTGGATATTATAGTAATTTCAATGGTTAAGATCATGAGTCAGTTGAATCTAGACCACCATGGGAAACCTGGAAGCACTGGACTGCCGTTTCGTCCTATTCTGGGGCTCCTCAGCAGTGCGCATCCACGACCTCGCCCCCTACGAGATTCGAACCCAGGACCAACTGGTTTCGCGCGCGAGCAATTAACCACTACACCACTGAGCTGGCATCCAATGGTGTTAATGTCTAAATTCAACTAATCCACGAAATTGAGCGACACATCCACCATTGTCTTCAGTGAGTTACTATCTCACAACAGACCTGATTGAACTTCACTCGTCACTACTTCTCACTAGAACTCTAAGATATACCTCTTGAAGCCAGTCACTAGTGAGCATATGTTGATTAATATCAGATGGGTTTTGTGGATATTATCGTAATTTCGAATCTCGCAAGGGGCGCGTTCGTGGATGCGCACTGCTGAGGAGTCCCAGTGCTTCCAGGTTTTCCATGGTAGTCTAACTTCAATTGACTCATGATCTTAACCATTGAAATTTTATTCCACATAAAAAAACCCACACATATTTACACAATAAATTCAGTCTTTCAATGTTTTAATTCTTTTTTTTTTGTTTTTTTTTTGTTTTTATTCAGTAGTATCATTTTGATTTTTGTTTGTATGAATAATGTGTACAATTTAATTATTCATTCATTGAATAAGATGTGTTACTTTTGTAAAATGATATTCAACTATATATTGTTTGTTTTCAATTAATTTATTTTGACACATTAATTTTACCGAATGAATAGATAAACAATCGGTGAATTTAATTTATATGTCTAATTGTTTAAATATGAATGTTTATACTGTAAAAGTTATACTTCAGTCAAACAGTTAGTAAATGTTAAAGTAAGTAACAACTAATACTTTATAGAACTTTATTGTTTCCATAGATTTGAACTCTTAAATTATTGGATCATCATCATAATCTTTTCATAGTTCATTTGATTACTGATATAACACAACAAACAAGTTCAAACTTATTTAGTCAGCTTCGAACCATGTTATTTGTGTGAGAAATAATCATTCTATAGGACTGCATAAACTAAACTGGACAAAGTAGGGTTACAACCTATGACTTATTGATAGGAAGCAAATTACTCTAAAATTGAAGTCATCGTTCTTGGTAGAGTAGCTTTCATAGGTTTCTTACTGGTTTTCAAGCTTAATTTATTGATTAATAATTAGCTGAAATTCATGTCTTCAAAAATAGTTTAACACCTAACAAAACCATATAAATACTACTGTTTATCCCATCATCAGTTCAATATATATTGCCTGGAAGTGTATTCATTAGTCCGATATAAGTTGAAATGTTGACAGTAAAAATTTACAATTGATTGATCACTGGGTGGTGATCAATGTCATGTATGTCTTTCTTAGTGCAGATCAAATCCTATCGACTAAGTTGCAGTGTAGCCACTAGTCTGAGTGATTGGACATTGCGTACACTATATTGAGATAAGATGGTGGTTGGAGGTAGTCAACAGGAAACCCTGAACCTAGGTTTCGTGCAACTTGGCACTTGTAAATAAATCTCAGTCGAACAAGAGGTTAGTCGCGGCCCGGATAGCTTAGTGATAACGTCTCTGACTGTGAAGCTGGGTGATACGGGATCGAATCCATTAGGGAGCATCAGTTCCCTCAAGATTGCAGGTACACCTTGCTGACGAGTACCAAATAGCACGAAACCTAGGTTCAGAGTTTCCTGTTGACTACCCCCAACCACCGTCTTATCACACTGAAAAGTCTGTTAATTAACTTAGTTGCTAGCACATAAATATTTCTTAATTTTCGGAAGATTTATGCCGTGTGTTGTCTGTAAATTATGATAGACATACAAGTAGAATTTAGCCACAAACTTTATCCATTGATTGTCACATATACTGATAAATTATTTAAATAATGCTTAATTCTTAATGTCATAGTAAACTGATGAATTTAATTAAAACAATTAATAAACTATTTCATAATGTTTCAAATCATAACAAATTAAAATTAATTGTTTTACAAATAACTAGACTACAGTTTACTGATTATCAGTTTAACCTTGATGTTTTGATTAGCCGTCATAAATGATAATCAATAAACTGTGTCCTCAATAAAGAAAACCTTAGATACCATGATACAAACTTCTAGAACATGGTGTAATAAATAACACACTGAAAATCTACTCTTGAAACAGAATATACACATGAAGTTAAGGAAAACTAGAATGGCTTTATCAGAGTTAGTCAAAAGCTAAGACTATTTGGCTCACACTCATTTGCCCGCAATTTAAATATCCTAACATCTAAAAGCTCTCCTTATTGAAAACAGCAAGTTTATATAATGGTGTCGAATGTGTAGTACGTCAATAAATGTGTTTTATGGTTTTGAAACGAAGGTCAGTAACTCGTGTTCTTGTTTGATTTGATCTATCGTTTTTTAGACTATTTTGAGGTCAACATCTCATGGGTTGTTTCCTTAATGGATTTACTGGACTAGTTTTAAGAGAAAACTGAAATGAGTGAACCAAATAACTGAAGTTAGCCAATAAGATTATTCACATTTTAACTGTTGTATTTCTTAGTGTTTTTAGACGAAGTACCTTTTCAGATTCAATGGTAATAATGTTTTTTCACAAATATTGTAGTGAACGAGAACACAAGTGGAGACAATCGAATGTGTTTGAACACAATATTACAGAACATCTTAGTAAAATCTGAGAATCGTACAGTAAATAGTTCATTTACAAAATTTCAACAAATTGTCTCAAACTTGATTGTTCCTTTTGCAAATGTCAATCAATCTTCTCAGAATTCCCGGTTCTTTGATTTCCACAACAATCACTCACTGTTCTCATTCTCTTTTCTTCGAACTGCTTAACCTTCTGCCACCAGGCATTTCACTTTCGATTGATGATACATACTACTTATATGTGTCAATACCAGTAGCACACATCACAACATAAGCTTTCAATAATCGATTCTGTCATAGAATCATTATTCTTATAGTTTTTTATTAGGAAATGTCTCTTACAGGTAATGGACAGATCAGTTACCGAATAGTAGACATTATCTTACCCTAATCTTCCTCAATACCGTCAGTTTCATACATGATTTATCATGATATTGAATTGTTTTATTTTCAAAACCGGTTCTTATTACTACGTGGATAAACATCAACATATTTAGAAAACAAGATTATGATCATCACTCAGTTAGTAGTCTAGAAGCATACAAAATAGAACAACTTTTTTACAAAAATTCTTAGAGAACACTAAATTTAATCACTTCATAATTAATAATTATGTGTGCTGCTCTGATGTGCTTTTTGGAGTTGTTTTTTTTAAAAATAAAGTACTTTGTAAAGTTGTCAAATTATACTTACATGTTCTCAAAGTTTCAGAATGTTTCCGTTGCAGATTTCATTTCATTCCGAATATCCTTCTTTTAGGACTGAAATTTTGTACTGATCAACTTTGTGACTGTATTGGGTTTGTAATTGTTATATATTATAGGTGATATAATTCAAATAATCTGTAGGACTGCAGGAAAATTGCCTTGATGTCACTGATTGATCTATAATTGATTTTACTGTCCCTCATTGCTATTTGATACAGATGTAGGGGTGTAAACTGTCTGTCAACGTTAAAAGTTTAAACGATTTGTGTTAGTTTGTAGGTATCAATGTCAAGGTTGAACTTGATAGTTTCAAATAAACTGAGCATTGAGTAGAACGTTTATAGGAAATATGCTATTTATTTATTTACTCTGAAGTCCGAAATACAATTTTCTACTCATTTGTGTGAGATTTTGGTATGTCATATTTTCTTATTTCGACTATTGAAATTGACATAGATAATCTGTGCAAATGATTTGCAAAGTCCAAGACCATTAGAAGGATTCGGATTTTCACTTGGATTGAATGGTGCCGACTTAGATGAAAATGGTTATCCGGATATGGCAATTGGAGCAGCTTTGTCTAGCTCTGTTGCAGTGTTACGAGCTAGACCTGTAGTCAAGTAATCTCCTTTAGAGTGAAATTGTTTTACGGTTTTTTTAATTTACACACTAATTTTTTATTACACATTAACGTGAAATAACCAGAAATTCTCAAATCACGTCTATCTTTGATTTTTAGGATCTAGGTTTTCAACGTCTATCCAAAAATCAATGAAGCAATTCACGTTATATGTTCTTGATATTTCACTTAATAATTTAAGTAAAAATTTATATGAATATTCGTCAAGATTAGAACTAATAGTTTGACAGAAATTGGGCGCCGAGTAAAAATTGCCGAAATTATTTTGAAGCTTAGCTATATAAACTTAAAGTTTATGGTTTATCCTTACATTGGATGTACTTACTCTCAATAGAATTTCAATATAAACTCAATACATTATTAACTTATGATGTAGGATGTACGCGAAATACACAATATTTGACCAGCTTCAAGATGGATTTCTTAGAATTTTAGTGAGAAGCCGTGACCAATGGAGTCCAATCCGTGTCAGGTGTGAGACAATTATCCACCTCAGATAATGTTTGAATGGTTGCGCAAGATCATGGATCGACTGAAGTTAAACGTTAACAGTGTTAGACACCCGCCCAGTGTTTCATAGGTTAAGCGTTTGCGCGTGAGACAGATGGCAATGGGTTCGAATATCAAGTGCAGGATCGCTGATGCGCACTGCTGGGGAGCCCCATACTAGGACAAAACGGCCGTCCAGTGCTTCCAGGTTCTCACTGATGGTCTATCTGAGATCGACTCGTGAATTCAACTATTAATATATATATATATATATATATATATATATATATATATATATATATATATGATTGATCTCTACAGTTTAGTCAATGAAACTAAATGACTATGTGACCTTATCATTCCTCTCTCCTGAGTCATATTCTTAATGTTCAGTCTTTCTCACTATAATTTCTACTAAACTTATCTCAAGTTCCTTACTATTTACTCTGCTAATTTCATTTTGTCGAAGCGATGATGTATGGTAACTTAGGCTAACCATCATGGTGATAATCAATAACTACAATTGCTTATTCCTGACTTCTCTCAATATGGTATACACTGACAATCTGATGGTTTTTTATCTGACTGGTTACAAAATAAACGAATTGTCAAACGACATTCCTTGTTCCTACTAAATGGTACAAAACTCAGCCACGAATTTTATTGTATTACATATATAGTTTTAATGGTCTTTCTCGATGTTAGAAAACTTCAATTTAAATCATTCAAGCACTGCTGTTAGATGACAACAGAAATTAATTGGATAAGTGAATTACAAAGCTTAAACATTTTCTTATAGATAAATATAGAGCTTGTGAGATTGTATTACATTCATCTACACTACATGAAATTGGTCTTTATATAAAGGATTTTTATTCATAAATCAGAAAATCATTATCAGTTTATTCTTTCAAGGACAAAAACGACTAACTGATAGTTGTCAGTTGTTGGTTTTAGAATGGTAAATACGCACTATGGAAAACTAAGTACTTCTATTTTATTTTTAAATGAATCATTTCTATTAATAATCATATGTCTATTAGTGACTAATTTCAATAATTAATTCTCAGAGCTTTAATAGAATAGTCTAAAGGTCATGAGGTTGGAGCGAGACCTGCAGCCTCTATTTCTGAATCCCAGTGGGGTCCTAAATAGAAGAGTGCCATTTTTGAAAGTGATAACTTTCTAGTGCTTCCCAGCATTCAACAGCTATTTAACTGAGATCAGTTCGTGATGTAAACTATGCAAAATCTAATCTCGATTGTTCGAAACATTTTATTGAGTGTATTCACTTAAGAAATAAATGTTGCTTGAAATACAGTCAGTCAGCCCATCATTTCTGTATAGAATTCTACAAGATCTACTTTTATGATTCATAGTTTCTGGATTGACATAAATCCCCACCAAGAAATCTTACGCTGAAATTATTAACAGTCATTTCAAGTGAAAAATATCTTTTTCAAATGTTTCACTGTTTTTTTTCTAATTTCACTATCCATATATTATTAAAGTATTTTTGTTATTTATGCAGGCTAAGAGCATATTTAACATTAATGGATGGTAGTACTACTCTGCCTAGTTCATTAAATTCATTAGTGGATTGTACTCATGAAGCTCAATCAATTACTGGATATAAAGCTCCGTCGGCTAAATGTATTGATATGAAATTAATTCTCACATACACCAGTGTTGATGGGTAAGTTACAAATACTATATGTATTATTCATTTAATAATTAAATATATCATTTAATTATATGTTTAAACTGTTCATTTACCTTGTTTAGTAATTTTTTGTGGAAATCAATGAAATATCGCACGTAATTAGAAATAAATTACATCAGTCTATGAATTCCGTAATCGAGTTTTCCCTCCTTTATTGTTTGATGGCTTTTAATTCTTCTTCTCATTTTTTTGAAAACATTTCGATAATTAATTTAAATAATGCACTGAATCTGATGGAATTTTGAATTATACATCACTTTATTTATACATATACATATACATATTTTCAGTGTTCTATAGAAGAGATGAATTCTGTTTATCAGTGGAGTCTTGGACGCATGTTTCGTCGTATTCGTGACTCATCAGATTAAGGTACTCACATAGTAGTTAACATTCACTGTGGGATTCTAAACCAATATCTTCCTCTTTAAACTCCAAACGCGTTATTCTCTTAGCCGTTGAGTTCAAATAGTTACTCATATCAAAGCTGGCATACAGGCACTTTCAGATGATCAGTTTTACATAGGATGGAATGCGCGTTCTAGACTCTATTGCTAGCCATAAACCATATTTTCTGTGAATTTTGTGACAAAATGTTTATATTCAAACAATCCTCACAGGATCTACATATCGTGACTAAAAGGGATCAAAATCCAGTCAATAATATCATGATAAGTCTTGCGAATTGAACGCTATATTCGTTTCCTAAGCTATATCTGTAACTATACAGCGACCTGAACAACGAGAGAGAAGACGCAAAGTATGCGAGAAGTACTTTACTTCAAGGTTCATTTCAATACAGAAAATACAGGGTTTTTATAATATTTTAACTGTCCTTGGGTTGCTAGAAGATTCTGGAATGCTACTAAACATAGTAGCAGTGTAGCAACTAACCAATCAGAACCTCTGCATGTGACGTTTCACTTCCTTGATATTTTTAGCTAAAACTTCAAGTGAACGCTGACTGGATGGAACGCTTCTTAATGTTTCCTGATGCTTGCTTGTCTTTTGCAAGAAATCTTCTGGATCACTCCAACATATCAACAAAAGAATAACCCCTAAAACACTGAAAACTTAATTTAAGTTTTCAATAGTTACTTTTATGATGCATGACGTAATAATTATTTTAAAAAATGATTCGTTTCTTTCTGGAGAAAAGATTAATATAAAATCACCACTTGAAAAATCAAAGCATTTTTTTATATTTTCCAAAATACTCGTATATGATAATCAAACTGATTATTACCTATTTAAGAAACGTTAAAATCCCCAAAAGGATGTAATCTTGGTCACATTAACGTTTTTCAGGTGTAAAACTACTCATTCAGTCATTGAATATGTGTGGTTTCGTCTGAATGTAAAATTGAAATTCTTATTTGTTTTATTTGTGTTGCGTTTCAAGTATATTATCTAATTTGATACTAAAACTTATGCTATCAACTTGGTTTAAAAAGAATTTTGAGAATAATATTTTCTGTAAATAAGAACTATATGTCATCACCATACCCATGTATAAAATAGTCGTCACTATTTAGCTAACACAAAAGGATATACAATTCCTATCAAAATATTACAAATAGTCAATTATCTTACTCGACTTTCATCATGAGACGTCATAACTCTTCTCAATGAAAAACTTCTAACTCCCAGGGCAGAGTTTAAATGGTTTGAATTGTTTTTTTCTGTTTAGTGTCTTTTAGTGAGTTACTTTTCTATGGGATGGGGTCGCTAATCCCATGCCTAACTCTCCTCCTTTATCCGAGTTTAAGACCGATAGCAGTCCCAGAGGGGCTCCAGGCAGAGTTAAACAGTCAATTATCAACGAAACTATTTTCGAAACTATACATGGAATGATTTTAAAAAATTTAGTTTTCCAATGTTAAAACATGTTCTACAAATAATACTTTGATAATTTAAAGCATTTTCTCGCAACTATTCATTGTTTAAAAAATGAAGTTCATTATTTGTCTAGTTGTCTTATGTAGGTTTACAAACAGAAATACATTCCATTCAAAGCAGAAAGTATTATTATCGTTATGTTTATTATTGTTATGTGCTCGACAAAATTCTTTAAAAGTTTCAATCTATTCTGTTTTCTAACTGACTGAATTAGAATACACACCTATACTACTTGCTGGTGGTACCTTATTGATTATCATCAAAAGCATACTTAACTGATGGCGCAGTCAGATTTCAGCTATTGAGTGCTGACAATCCTAATCCTAAATTTCAATTCAAACTCCTAGTCTCAAGCCTAAATTCTAACCTACATCATTTTACAATTTTTATGAAGAATATTCAAATGTATTATTTGGATCTTCATTACTCAAAATCATTTCCAAACCATTGAGGATCATCAATAAAGTGTACTTTCGCACGTTGATCATTAGGCGACCTGATTAGTTCTCTTCAAATTTTTTTTCACACAGTTATTACCAGTAAATTATTTAGTCTCCCCTAAAACTTAACTCTATACACTTTAAGTAGTGAAGAAAAAATTCACGGTTTTTTCTATTTAAAAATTACTTGAAATCACAATTTGCAATGAGTTTAAAATAAGCTCTATTTCAATAAATTTTTAGTTCATATTTTCTATGATATAAATGTCCAGTTATGTTATTGAATCAATTTTTTTTCTCAAAAGCATACCCTGGGATGCAAGTACATCCAGTTGACGAGTCCTAAATAGGACGAAACGCGCGTCCTGAATCCAACCGCTAGCCACTATCCTTTGAAAGTAATGAGATAGATATCGAATAACAAAACGTATAAAACTAGAAAGAAAGAAATGGAATTATGCAAAGAATAATAAAATGAGTATTCTAAAAATTTAAAGCAACATAACTGATTTATGCAAATATTCGTCAATATTAAAACGAATAGTTTGACAAAAATTTGCGTGCCAAGTATAGAGAAGTCATTATATGTGAAAATTATATTTGAATTTCAGCGATTAAAATTTAACTAATTCCAACGTTTCGTCCACCAAACTCGTCTAGACTTCTTCATAGATTACATAATCTCAGTGAATAAAATTATCTTTTCTGCCTACCGATTTTAAACTGTTATGTTGGGAAATCTGATTATTTCCTTCATTTAGAAAAGAGAAATCTAAACTGTGTGCTAAAATTTTTCCCCACTATTCCCTTGACTGATTTTTTTACTACGTGACATTTTCACAATTATTTCATTCTCTTCTTTTATTTTCATTATTAATCGAAATAAAAATTATATTTTTAGGAATCATCGATAATAATATATGCAGTTAGTGATAATTTATAATGAATTAGTTACTGAGTAGTGACCAATGTTAGTTGTGACCCGAATAGCTCAATTGTAACGTCACATTCTATGTAGCCAGTTACATTTTGCTGACGAGTGCCAAAAACACCACTAGCAGAGATTTATTACCTCTGTTGAGGTACCTATCAAGTAGATTTTGCTTAACATTTTGAAATCGACTGAATATATTTCTTGAAATGATTTTGCTATCGATAATGACAGTTGTCTCAATAAATTGTGAAGCGAAATTTATTAGCTAAGAAACGTTTCTTCAAACTGAAATTAAGAATACACAGTTCATATTTAAAACAATAATCTTAAATATTCATGATATGATTAGAGAGCATGAAAGAAAGTCACTCTTTCATTCATAATCAACATTAAGTTTGGCATAAATATGAGTCAGTACAGTGAGATAAAATTAGCTATTTAGCTAAGTAGCCCTATTAGAAATAGTAACAGTGGTAATAGTAAACAATAAACAATCAAGAATATACTTCGGAAAGAAAATATGTTTAGAGTGGATATAGGTGAAGCATTGGTAGCAGTTCCAAAGCATGTCACATAATACCTTTAATTAATGATCGCAGTTATCTCACCAACTTCAGCTACATAGTTTGGACCTACCAGTATAATTCAATTTAAAAACCAATCACTTTGCTTGTTAATGCTACACCTTTGGCATATAAAAACATGTTTCATATGTTACACTGATTACTAACTTCAAACATAGATGTTCATTTCAATTGTAGCTCACTATTTCTTTCGACATTCTGAGCAGAAGTTCTTTTTCTTAAACATTCCTAGAGTAACTGCCATCAAAAAATGATATGACTGGATAGTTACTTCATCTCAGCATGAGGTTTCCCAACCAGTGTAAATTCACCATCCCTACATGAATTCAGATATAGGTCTTAATGTCTCCCATTAAGCACTAAATCGCATAATCAATGCATCGATTTCACTATAAATTTAATCTTCACTCTAATTTTGTAAACGTTATTTAAATAAATAATTGTTTATTATCATTTTATTTAAACAGTATATCTTGTAGTCCACATAAAACGTATCCAGTATCAATTTTATTAAAATACAATCCAACCAATGAATGGATTTCAGAAGGTTGGGATCAAACTTCACAAAATCATTCACCAAATTACGAAAGTAAATGCACCTATAATCAATATTCAACTATAATTTCCAAAAATATTATGAAAGAATTTTATAAAAATTACACTTTATCACCAATTGTCTTTATACGAGAGAAAAGTTTATCAAATAGTGAAATGATTGTTAAAGATTATTTTAAACGTAATGAATCTGCTTATCTGACGGGTTATGATAGTCCTGGCGGATATTTACAATTAGAAGGTAATGCTTTTTGTCGTGATCTACACAAAATAAAAGAGAATATACCATTCAATCAAGATGAATTGAATTTAGCTAGTACATTAAGAATAATATTTCGAGTAAGTTTATTCTGATGTAAACTTGTCTGCTTGTTATACATATATTTGTTTATGTCCCATCTAATGCATTTGAATAAGTTTGTGACATGGTTTACACTTCATAGCTCATCAAATAAAGGGAAATTATAGGGAGCTTGAACTTAAGTATTTACATGAAAAATCTGTAAAAGTCTACAATGTGAAATTATTTACGAAAAAAAATTTTTTTGAACTATACTGTATGGTCAATCGTCATTTGTCTTCATCATGAAATTATGTTATATTTTCCGTGTTTAACAAAGGTCCATTTATGACTTTGATAAACATAATAAAGTATTGAAAGGTGTCAGGTGGAAGAAGGAAAAAACGAAAAAAAACCTTTTCTTGATAGTATGTCTAAGATTTAGTTCATTTTGATTCTACTGAAAAAAATGACTCTAATTATATAAGTTAGTCAGTAAATTATAATGATAGAATTCAATGTACTTAATGGTTAGACGTTGTAACATGATTACCTTATTTATTACCATTTGTCTATTTAACTCAAATATATCGGATACAAATTACATAGAATTTGTTGGGGTCACTAAAACGTCTAAGTAAGAATGTAACCTCAAGCCTACTAAGAACCCAATGCAATAAGAAGTTCATCCGTCATAAAGTATTGTATACATTTAAATATGTAACCCATTTTATAGTTTCCGTTAACTCTTTATCTGTCTAGGATACATATTTGATTGATCAAACTGATCGTTTGAAAATTGGTGTCAAATGGATTGCTAAAATGACTGAACCATATCCATTAGCTGATCAAATTGACGAGTATCCTGTAGCTGATCCACGTGCAAATACTGAACTACTTCAGGTAAAAAAAAACTAAAAAATTTTAAAACATTTCTACGTAATTTATACATAATATATATATAACGGTAGAAATCATTATTCAATAAAGAAAACAATTGGGCGATAATGTGTTGAAAAATATCAAACTTTCATCTGTGTAATTAGTTGACTGATTATTCGAAAATGCAATAAATCAAGCACCTAGTTATTTAGATCAAACGTTAACTGAAACTAACTAACGGATACTTAGTTCACTAATAATTTTTAATTTGCTAGTTTTCGTTTAGAGTTTTATATCCCGAACTAATAATAGCTAAACAACGGTTAAAAAAACATAAGATAATGAACTTTTATTTTATTTAAGTAGAATACTCTTTAAAAGTGAACACAAAACTAAACATGAGACTGAGCCTAGGAACTTCAAGCTTTACATATTTATTATGAAGGCTGCCAACAATATTAAAGTATCTCATTGTAATAGAAAACCAAAGTATATCAAAATTAAAAATCAATTGTAGTTTATTTACTATGAATAAGCCAAACATATATAAGGATATAACGTTCGATTATGTAAATACCCTTATATTTACAGTTCAGTAATTATAAAGAAATAAAGATCAACCATTTATAAATTGCTTGACTTATAATCCCATATCACTATCTTGTAGAATTTAGGTAATATGGGTAAAAATATTTACTCCTAAAATGATAAAAACTTTTATTCCTGTTAGGTAGTTAAGAACAAACCATTAGATGCCTTAGAACTAGGTTTTTTGCCAATTCTGATTCGTTAGTAAGGTATTACTGCAATCTCAGGGTAACGGGAGGTTCTTGTGAGATCCAAACTTATATCATCAAACCTGATAGTTATTACAAAAACAAAACATTAACATTGATAAGATAATATGCACTCTTTTGGCATCTAATTGGAAGTTCACATTTTTAATTAAACGTTATTATATACAGATTTACCAATGGTGCACATGGGCTCCAGTATCCTGCGGGAACAAATGGCGTATGAACCAATTGCTGGTCACCGGCTTCCATGGGACTGCATCTCCTTACGATGCTCCACTGCCTTGTGGATCAGACCATTAGGTCAAAGGCTCGGGGAGTGGCCCCTTAAGAAAACCACCTGCTTCAGTCTGGGCACCCGGGCAGTATCATAGCCCTCACACATATTGAATGAGATTTGTGTGGCGCACATGTATTTGGTGCCTCTTTGTACCATTATCTATGTGTTGAAATAAAAGAAAAAAACAGATTTATGTTATGCTGAATAAACTGAATAGTAAAATAACATTTTATTTCGAACTATATTTGTTTAAAGACTAAACTACGAAGCCCCATAGCTATCATAGTTACAATTCAAATAAGCTGATATCTAATGATTATTAGTTTGAACATATACTGCTAACAACAGAACACCTCTAAGTTATTACATTGCTAATTTTAGTTTTATTACATGTTTATATTCGCTTTTTAGAATATTTTTCTTAAATACGAAATTAAATCATCCTAGTATTTAGTAGTCCTCAGCTTTTCTACAGACTTATTTGTTGAACTATACGATGCTTCATCTTTTCTTCTAATAATCAATTTATACAATACAGTACTCAGGTATAATTTGGTGGAGTTACACAAATCAATTTGTCACTTAATTATGGTTCCCATTTCAGAATGAAATCAACTGTGGAGCTATCGAAAGTTAAATTGACATTTAAATCCATAGTTTAAGTGGTTTAGATGTCATGGGACATAAATGTTCTGAATTGCATATTATGTTTGAGGTGGTGAGTATGAACTACTAAGGAGTCACAAACAAGGACCAAAAAAATACTCAATTTATCATGAATTTCGATGGTCCTCCAGTTGAGATCAACCAGTAGTTTTTAAAAATCTCTGTAACTCAACATTTTGTTATTATTAAGTCAATCCTCGACAATCATACTAATATCTTTCAATTATTCCGAAGAACGAGTAATTAATAGAAGTTCTCTACATTAACAGATATGTGTGAGATAAAAGTTGCCGTGACTATAAGGCTTATTATTTAAGTTTAAAACATCTGTTGCTATTATAAAATCTATTTATGTAAAAAATAAATCAATCACTTTATAAATCAAGATACAATGTACATGGCTATGCATTAAAATCCAGAGTGCATGTTTCGTTGTATGTAAGGCTAGTCAATTGAATGTATCTAGAACCTAATATTAATGTATACATTAGAACTGAAGCATAATAATTTTTCCCAACGCGTTATCCACTGAGTTCTGATAGCCACTAATTTGTTTGATGCATATGTTAGTAGTAATAGTTTGAGTTATCCCACTGATAAAAAATGAGCCATGTCAAGGGAAACCACACAAGATGCATATATACTAATAAAAACTCATCAAAATTCAGGTTCTACTATCAACAATTGGATAAATCAAACGCTGACAACTAATTATATCAAAATACTCTGTCATACTATAACAATTGTTTCAAATAATTCAATATTACGATATATATATATAGCTCATAAATTAAAATTCTTTTTTAATTTGTAATGTCAGATATCTTTTGATAATCCCTGTGCAATTCGACAATGTTGCCCAACTGTAAGAGTTAGTTATAATGTGAAAGTAACCAGGTAATTGATATATTTGTATTTATTTTGCAAATTATGTACGTTTTCAAACTTTATTTCACTCTCATCTTTTTGAAATAAACATAACTCAGTTAAAACTTGGTATTTATTTTATGATGGAAGCTTACTGAATTGTTTTCTTTAAATAGTCAAGACATTTTTTTCCATTATATATGTTTATTGGAAGCATCACTGAATGACATTTTCATTATATCTTGGACGAGTTATTTTTTTTCTCATCTCCACCTCGTAATTCACTTTCACTCGAGAAAAATCGATCCACTCTAGAAGAAAACATCGAGTGAAATTAATCTACTTTCATTGTGAATCGAATGAAAAGAGATTGAGGTAACGAAATAATTTACTACCTGAGTAGTTATCATGTCGGTCAACATCAGCCTGTAAACTTAACATCCTTCGTAATCGACCTAAGGCCTCTTGACATTCTTAATAATCTGGGACTTCACTTAAATTTATTTCCTTTACTAATAATCTTCTCGAGTTGTCAAACCTGTAGAAATTTCCACGTTGAATCCTTTCTATCTGTTCTTGGTTGGAATAATTAATTTACTTCTAAATAAGTTACTAGTTTTATTTTGGAGCTGTGGAGATTAGTGAATTTCATTGAAACCATAAATCGATCAATGTTAGACCATCACTGAAAACCTAAAAGGACTGGATGGCTGTTCCGCTCTAGTATCAGACTCCTCAAAGACCCTGCACGCTGGGTTCAAATCCAGGACCCTCGCTCTGGCGCTCAAACGTTTTAGTCTCTAAACCACTGAGTTAACATCCAACAGTGTCAATGTCTAACATCAACCTGGTTGTGGATGATTTCAATGAAAATCAATACCTACAAATGAAAACATTTTATTCACATGCTGGTGATAGCTTTTTTGTCTCATACTCATATCAATCAGCTTTTACGTTTTAATAACTGTCAAGTCATCGTTTCAACTTATTCTAGAACTATTCAACAATAGTTAATATTAATAAATGTTTATTTAATGGAACATGATAACTGCAATCTTTGTAATGATTATACTCCTTAAAATCATTCATATTTTCAATTTTATTTAATTTTAACAATGAAGGGAATTATTCTTTGGTTTAATTTGAATTGAAACAACTTAGTAACCATTTTAAAGATGAAACGTGTTAATTAATATCAATATTTGATTTATGAGAGAGAGAAAAAAAGGAACTAAATTTTCTAGTTCTTGTTCATAATGAAACTTTAACTTAAATTACATGAATTAAACAAGAAATTAATTTGTATTAGAAGTAACAAATGTGTTCAATTGAAATTACCGTAAATATCATAATTAAATTACATATTGAATTGATAGAGAAGTAGATCATTATTTGAGAGTAGATTTTTTTACTACATCCTTCATTGATTCAATATCTAACAGATAGATTCATTTGAAACAATAGTATAATGTGTAAGATATCAGATTGTTCTATTATTAAATATTCGATTATCATCATGAATTATACGATTTTCTGATTAAAAATACACAATCTAGTATGTAGGAGAAAGACTGGAACCAGTATGTATCACATGATCGACTGTTCTATCTAACCGAATAAGTCTTATGATTATTATCAATGAAATCTTTTCATCAAACTATTCAAAATATTTTGAGTGACAAATAAACCTACTCGTACTTTTATTGACTCAAGACAGTCTTATTTGCGAATATACATGCACAGAGAATCATGTGAGATATCACTTGTTGTCCTTAGTGTTATTAATATACACTAATACAACACATAAATACCTTATTGGCTAGCTTTTCAACTGGAATAACATAATAGAATATAATTCTGGTTTTCATGACGTAGTCGTAACATTGCTCGAAATCGACAACTCTTCGACAATAAGAACTGGATGAATGCAGTCAACACAAGGCCCTGGATGTAAATTTTCCACTAATTAGCACCTGTTCACAAAGTGTACCAACTTTCTCATCGGAACCGATGTTCTATGTAAGATTCGAAATCGCATCTCCCAATATTGAATGATATCAATAACCTAATAATAGATGAAGCGTTTCACCATGTTAAATATCTGTTAGCTACAATGCAACTTGACCAATAGAATTTATCCAACACTAAAAACTAAACAATACTATATTTTTACTAACATATGTCAAGCCTTATTGATGTGACATCTAAATGTTCATTCACTGACCGATAGTAATTACAACACAGTGAAAATATTAAAATTTTTCATTCAACTAGATATTGATACAATTGATACAATCAAAGGTTAATTACAAGTAGAACAAACACCAAGTGAATTTAAACATTTATAGTTTAAAGTCAGAAAGGTCCAGAAATCCCTTGTATTCTAGAAGGTAATCACTTATAGGTGCCGGACCCTTTTTTGATTTCGCTGTATAAGAGATCACAGTACTGGTGAATACACCCGAATAAATCATAGTAATATTTGTGGACAACTTTTTACGAATATGATAATAGTTGTTTGTTGCTAATCGATGAATATTTTCCATTTTATGTGCGCGCTTACATAGGAAAATATGAATAGTGTCTACTTTTAAGAATCAACTCGATATAATGTATCTGAGCTAAAGTTTACGAAAACTAATCTAGTTGTGTAAAATCCAGTTTGTAAACCAAAGTGACTTTACTTTCAGTACTGAAATCAACAAGTCTAGTAAACAGATATGAAATAGACCATAGATGTTTTGTTCTAAATCAACCAACACTTCTCGTAGTAAATACTTCAAAGTATATCTAAAACTAAAGGTATTTTCAACCAGATTATAAACTTTACACAATTTAATAATCCGTGTATAAGCGAACCTGTCATTTGCAATTCTCAAATAATTCTTAGCAATAATCTCTTCTCTTTCTCAACTTCATCATGCTATTCTAGAGATAAAAATGGACCTGTTGTTTATGTGGGTGATGATAATAATCAAACAATTGAATTATCCGTTCGTGTAACAAATATTGGCAATGATTTAGTTTATGCTACTGGATTAGTCAGTAATTTTCTACCAAATTTATTGGAACTTGATTCAACTGTAAGTTGTACTGTTGATTTTACTAAAAAATTAAGTGTTCTAACACGTAATAACCACTGAAAGATCAATAAAGTAATGTATTGTTAAGTTTCAATTAAAGCATGATAATCTGATCCTTCCTAAAGTCATGACTTCTGCGTAATCTTGAAGACATTTACACTGAAAACCAAAACAATTCTGTTCAAAACCTTACAAAAACGATGTTTAATCGTAAGATATATGGTGGGGAAATGGTGAAGATTTGTAGCTCAGGTAAATGATTTTGACAGAGTTTTGTTCTCTGAGCCGGATGGTTTAGTCGTGGAGCTTTCATCATTTTTCTGAACGACATCATCCACACAAACTTTAGATAGAACAAAACTCCATCAAAATATATCTCAGTTGTTTTGTTTCTTATACTTATTTAACACCTACTATATAGATGTATTTGTTTTATTCAAAGTTACTTCAACTAATTTAGGCGTTAATTACAATATCGATTTTGTTTCATAGTATTCTCTATACACAACAAAAGTGATATTTTTTAACCGAAACGATAATAGATGGATACTAAAAGAGTATCCAAAAAAAAAGAATTTTATGATTATTTCCATTAGTGACTTCATTAATAACGGGTTAGACGAATGTACCAGAAAAATTTACTCGAAACTGGATCATTTTCAATAAAATGCAAATGATAATATCAAGCAAAAATGTTCCACACTTTTTCTTTGATTTATAGTTTCTGATTAACTCGAATAGTAGATTATATTCAATTGACAAGGGTTAGAATCACTAGAAAAAAGTCAGTATTGAATGATTATTTATTGTTTGCTATGACTTTTTTTTATAGCATAATGAGTACTAAACTTAGTACATAAATAAGGATAGACATTTTAACTCCTATGGAAAGGTTACCTATCAATCGAATAGAAACCAAATAGATAACACATTTAATACTTTATTAATTTGTGACATACCACAATTATGAATAGAGACGTGTTTCTACTTACTTCTCAAACATATTTTGTCGTAGACTACATAATCATTCATTGAAAATATGAATATTTGATTAAAGAAATACTTTTACATCTTTCTGTTTAACATATAGAATCTTTAAAATTTTATAAATTAAACTGTAACTAATCAAAAGATGTGCATAGAAGATTTCTGGAGACTGTAGAATTTTTACAGTTTAAATCACAAACTGATATTAGCTAGACTACCATCAAAAATCCAGAAGCATTGGACAGCTGTTTTGTCCTAATGTGGGACTCTCCAGTAGTGTCTGATGTGAGACATATCAACCGCAAATAATGGATATGACTTGCACGATATCATCTACTTAAGTTATACTCCAACACTGTTTAATGCCGACTCAGCGGTCTAGAGGTTAGGCGTTAGAGCGCGAGACCGAAGATCCCGAGGTCGTGGATGCGCACTTCTGAGAAGTTTCATACAAGAACGAAATAAGCATCCGGTGCTTCCAGGTTTCCAATGATGATCTAGTTTAAATTAGTTCATGATGTAAACCATGAGAATCAAAAGGTCTATCTTTGTGCAACATGTATTATTTATGGCGAACATGAAAACGTCTGTGATTATAACTGTATGTGAAATTTTTTGTATTCTCATACAGAAAACTATTGGACAGCTGAACATCAGCTGTGTACATACAAATCTTATAAAGTACAATATTTTATAACATAAAGCTTACTTACATTCATATTAACTCACTTTGCATTGTCCATATAGTTCCACTGATTTGTAGAGAGAGTAAAAATGAAATGAATTGATTGGATTATTTTCAGATGTTCTCTATGTATTTTAAAATGTCATATTCATATAAGCTTATAATTCGTTTCTTCTTACTAAATATATTATGAGATCTTTATATCAATAACTTGAATAGTAAAGCTAAAATTTAACGTATAGTTCATTATAAGAGACAAAGAAATTATACATCTATAAATATCTATCATGAAATGTACGATTTGGACTGAGACGTTATTTCACTAGTGTTTTGTATATAATTTTTTGGAATTCAGAGTATTTTAATATAAGCACTGTCCATAGACCCCTCTGTAGATTGAAAAATATCATATCCGATAAATCAGTTGGGAGATAAGATTGGAGATAAAAATTTTGAAAAATGATTTATATGGGTTGAGTCTTTTAAAGGTAACGAGCGATTTTGTGACCAATATTATGCTTGAAGGAATTATACGGTTAAGGTATAAAATGATATATCATATACATATCAACCCTTTATTTCAGATTGTGGAAAATTTCAATAGAAGTGGAATATTATGCATACACTTAAATAAGAGATTTGGTGACCATAGGAGTTTAATTCATGCTTTTGATTTAAAATTTCAATTATTAAAGTAACACAACACCGTCTAGAAATGTATTGGTTTAACGATAAAATGATCACATGGCCTTTTTTCGTTCATGGTCCTTGTTATAACCTGCTCCTTGCTACACAGTTAGAAAATATCATCTCAAGGATGACTGCAATCAGTAAACGGAAAGCAATCACCCTTTATTATACCCCTTAAAACAGTTAACTCAGCCCTACAATGTGATCTGAAACAGGGAAAAATGCCATGTTTTATATACAGGTTTCCTTTTCAGTGGATAATGTCATCTAAATTATTGTAATGAAAAACGAATTTTATACTAAACAAGAATCAAAACTGAGTGAATATTCATCAGAATACAATAGAAAAACATACTGAAATAATTCATAAATAAATATGTGGAAATCCAAGTAAATGTTAAACCCATTAATGATCATATTGTTTTAATCAGTGATCTTACTCTTGATCACTTCTTATAGATCTAGTAAATGAATTGATATAAATATCGAGTTTTCTCAACTCTCACATGGAATCTCACATAGTTTTTTTTTCGTATCTACCAGTCTGGTTTAAATACGAATTCCGTTTTTAGTCTTTCATATTCCCATGTAATACTGCCACCACATGACACAATACATGGATTATTCAAACTAATAAATCATGGTTGAATTCATGAGTCAGTTGAAACTAGACAATCATTGAAAACCTGGAAACACTGGACGGCCGTTTCATCCTAGTATGGGACTCTTCAGTAGTGAGCATCCACGATCCCGCCCCGCAAGGTTCGAACCCATGACCTATCAGTCTCGCGCAAGAATGCTTAACCTCTAGATCACTGAGCCGGCCGGCATCCAACGGTATTAATGTCTAACTTCAACCAATCCCCGAAATTGAGTTACCATCATTTTAGTAGTCCACGTGCAATTCGTTTTTTTCTTTTTATTCTGCTTTTTTTATCCGCATTAAATCATTTTTAATTTACTTGTATTGTTTGTTTGAATCTTCCCATTGGTGTTGAGAACCGCGATTGATCAGTCTCGTTTTTACCATTCTTCTCCTATCGATATTTTCATTTATTTCATTAACAAACGTTTCAACAGAATATATTATAAACAAAATGCTTCATATTTGGCTGTCATTTTGTTCCATTTGATGATTCCAAGAGACAATAACAACAACTAGATTTCAAATGTAAAAGTAGTATAACACCGTCTAGAAATGTATTGATTTAACTATTGATAACAATACAGTGTTCACATGACCTTTTTTCGTTGATGGTTTATGTTACAACCTGCTCTCTGCTATGCAGTTAGGAAATATCATCTCAAGGATGACTGCAACGAGTAAACAGGAAGCAATCACTCTACAACAATTAGATTGTAGGGTATGTGAGAAACGGCAAAAATCACAAAAATTGAATTTTTATCCACGTCTAGTTTTGATTAGTTTTCTTCTTGGTCATCTTTTAATTATTGTCTATACATACATGAAAAACACTGTTTAGATTAATTTTTCTGTGTTTATTTATTTGTTTTAATCAGTCATTTTTTTAGAATTACTGTATAACCAATGATTTGTTTTTTTCAATTTAGCTTAAAGAAGCCAGTTTAATTCAACCGGATACAGCAATCTGTCATCTTCAATATCCATTGGCTTCTGGTGAATCAAGTGAATGTATGATACGATGGCTTGTAATCGGACATCAGTTAACTGTACAAATGGCTAAATTTCATGTAAATAGTACTGTATTAATGTAAGTCATTTGCTTGTTCATTTTTTTTAAATATCTTGCTATATTTAATGAGTCTTTTTGTATTTCTATTCTAGTCGGTGTCATTTGTTTACTGTAAATATGCACACATGAATAAGGGGTATTTTTTCTAACCCCCATGGTAAATACCATGAATTTTAACTTATTTACTAGTTTGGTAGTCTCCCACTGATACCATATAAAGTTAATATGTTCTGCTTTTCAGATTTAAACCTTCATATCACTGGTATAGACTAGATATGAAGATAATCTTCATTAGATGAAGAATATTTTGAAAAACCAAGAATCGCTTAACATCTGGTATCATTGAGTGGGCATTGGTGACTTGCTGCAAGGTGAATGAAATGTGTTTGGTCAATCAATTCGAATATTGGTAATAGATCCCCATTGATGATGATGAGTGATAGTCTCAATAAATCATTAATTTACTGAATATGTAAAATATAAATAAGTCCTATTTTAGCTGGTTGATATAGTACACATTATAAAACTTAAAAGTATTTCGGTATAGTATGTTCCTCACTTTTTGATACTTTTGGAACACAGTGAAACATCTGTTTAATCGTTTTAGGTTTTTATTCCCACTTCAACCCCACACACCGGATAAGATTTTAAGTGTACATATCTCAATTTTATAGCGAATAAATGATAGTAAATTACTGAAAAGTATTCAAATAAATAGTGAAAATCGTTTGTTTCACTAAATTTTATAGTATTTCTTTATATAATTACATATCTAGATAATAAATTCTACACACATAAACATAATTATTCAGAATATCATACTTCAATATATTAGATTGGCTTTAATTTCACTTTTAGTGCGATAATAAATTATGTTATTTCTAAATGAATGCATTCAAAGCTATATGTGTGAGTTTGTCATCTGCTCTCATCATAAGTATAATCCACAAATGGCTTTCGTCACATCGTTTAAAGCAACACTGAAAACCATAAAGAATTTTGCTGTTATTTTTTCACTGTGGTGCACAAGGATCATCAGCTATAAAACACAGACACCAAAAGACCGCGTTACTTTTAGATTATTGAGTTGCATCCTCATAGTCCAGACTTGTTCAATATTATTGATATGCAACAGGATCGTTGAATTCAAAATCAGAGTTTTTTAAGTAGTACATTCTCCATGACAACTGACAGTTCTGGGACCAACCTCAGGAATAGTCTGCGATACGTACTGTTTGGCAATCGCATAGTTGGATGGAACAGATTTTCAGTACCTCGTGGCTTTCAATTATATTAAAATAACAAAAATTGTTCTCAAAATATAAATAGGACTAATACATAGAATGATTAGTCACACTTTAAGTTGGTTGCACGTATTTTTTTTCACTTTTCCAACTTTTAGAAGTTCTAATAATCCCATACAAGTTGAAGGACAATTAACTAATGAATTACAAGTAAATATTAAAATGATTGTCAATGTTTCAGTATTTGGGTAAGTTGTGATTAATGTCATTATTGTTACCAATAACAAGATTTTTAGCGTACTAGTGAAAATGACAAATTTCCGATTTTCTTTTATTTTCATTATTTTTCTCGTGAATGTTTCATCAATAGGACTAGGTAGCTTCATCATGAACATAATAAATGTCTAGAATGAGATATCTAGAAAAATACATAAATGAAAATAATGATCTTATTTAATTTTCCAATCAAAATTATATAAATTGATAGTTATGAATAGTTAGTTTTGTCTTATAACTCAGATATCAGAGACTCTAGTTTGAGACAAGCACTTCAACTTATTAAAATTCAATCTTTACTCTTATTGAGACTTTAATGAATAGGATCGATTGTGACTTAACTTTTCATTATTCACGTACCACTATGTTGTTCAAACAAGTTTACAAGTCAACCTCAAAGATGTTTATAGGTTTCACTTAACAAATCAAAAAATACTGAATTTTCCTCTTTTTTGATATTATTCTATTATTATCTACTGTGGAATCACTGAAAACTCAAACAACCATGATTAGTGTTTTTATCTTAATTTGTAATGTAGTACATATTTTCGATATTACAAGGGTATCAAATTTGAATATAGCAAGACATGTAGCCAGTATATGTAAAATCAAGGATGCGTATCACATTAATAAGTCTTAATCCTAGACATAGCGCCCGATAATTTATCCTAATTCTTCATGAAGACCATGAATTAATCCGTCATGTAATATTGGCTATAAAAATAAAACATTTTCTGTTTTACAATTGATTGATCGCTGACTAGAAATCACTATCATACTTTTCAAGTCATTTTGTGCTCACTGAATTATTTTAATAAAGTTGTAATGTGGTTTATGTTGATGAAGCTGAGTGAGCATTATACCCTCAGGATTACATATACATCTTAGTGACTTATGTCAACTAGAAGAAAACTTATGTCCAAGATTTTCAACCGGACTAATTCCATACCTACTAAACTTTATTCTACGTTAAGTTAGAGGTGAAACTGTTTTTTACAATCAATTTTGTTTCCAAATAATTATTTCATTCTTAGTTTTTATTAAAATGATTTCTACTACTATTATCTTAGTGACATTTTTAATCTTCTGTAAAACTGATGTTAACCAATATTAGCTACAACTGAAAACGCTTTAAATACATAGTCATTTCATTTTTTAATAATTAAACACAACAACAACAACTTTGTTATTTAAACCTAAGTAATATGTAGGTGTAGATATGATTAAACTCTTTTTTTCTAACTTCGTAGTTTGATTCTCTGTCGTAAATCAGTGTCTCTAATTAGATCTCCATTAATCTCTACAAAACTCTTTAATTAGATTGTAACAAAGTTTTCAGTAGACATTCAATATTATTTATGAATCAGAATTGTATGTAGCAGAAAAAGTTGTCAAATGTAACATTTGACTGAATTGTTTATTTCTATTTTTTTTGTTTTTCGAATTTATTAGAAAATTTTAAAAAATATGATTTACTACTTGTGTAGTAGTATTATATTCAAAGTTATTGTAGAAAAGAAGATAATTGAATAAATTTCGATAATGCAATGAGAAGAAGTAGTTTATCAGAATTATGTGATATATTTGCGCAATACGTCTTCTCATTGTATTATCGAAATTTATCAAAGGGACTAATTGTTTTAAATAATTGAATAAATTAATCATCATCAGGTCTCAACAACTAAATCAATATTACATTAATATTGAGTAACTAGTTCTATATATTTGAAAATGAAATCACCAACTAAGTAGTTAGTTTAGTTTTGTAAACCGAATACCAAATAACATGAAATAACTGGCTGAGAACTATCAAAAACAACAGTGACTGGATCTTAAAATGATGTGTCACCTAGTCATAATCATCAGAGGGTTCAACTTAGTCCTCGAAATTTCAGTAAATTTATTTTTAAAAGATGGAAAGTTATATTCAATTAAATAAGTGTTTCATTCATCTCATTTCCAAAATATTATGATACGTACTTTCTGGCTTATACATCTGGTCACTATTCAAACATAGTCGACATGTCAATGCAAGCAACATTATTACACCTTTGTTCAAGAGGTTAATATAGTGGCAAAGCTGATCATTTCTATTTAGATTATCTGGTAATAGGAAAGATCAAACTATCACAATAAATAAATATCAATATCTCCAGGCATTATTTTAACATTCTATCTAGTGGCTTCAAGTAATATATTTCTAAGGTTATTTTTATTTAATTCCTTCTGTAATATTTTCACAAAAATGATAAATGTTTATACAATAGTAAAACTTTATTCTTTCTGGAATATAAAATACAATTATCATGATAAAAGTTGGATTAATTTTGATTTGGTTATTTACTCTCTGAAGAAGTGGCATACATTAAGTCACGAAACGTCAGAAAATCTCATTTTTCTACTCATTGGGATATTACAAATATATTAATTTATTTATAACAATCGACCCGATACTCAATTTATTCATAATTATCAAGTTAAACCTTGGTAACAATACCTACACAATTATCATGTTATTTGTCAGTCTCCATCTTTAACATATGACACATAGGATTTTGTATTAAAATTGATGAAAATTAACACAATTGTACTTAGTGTCTGTAAATGTAAACAATTATGCAGACTTAATAAATAGGTATGAATTTCTATAATATTTTCCCTAGTAAACTTCTAACTGATTATAGATGATCCACGAAGTCGCGCCACCGTACACCATTGTCTTCAGTGAGTTGATATCTCACAACAGACTTGGTTGAACTCCACTGGTAACGGCTTCTCACTAGAACTCCAGGAGTATTTCATGAAGTCAGTCACTAGTGAGCAGATGATTATTATCAGAAGGGGTTTTTGTGGAGATTTTAGAAACTTCACTGGTTGAAATCATGAGTCAATTGAAGCTAGACCACCATGAAAAACCTGGAAGCACTGGATGATCGTTTCGTCCTAGTATGGGACTCCTCAGAAGTGCGCATCCACGATACCTAGCTTCAATTGACTCATGATTTCAACCAGTGAAATTTCTAACATCTCCACAAAACCCCTTCTGATGATTATAGATAAGCAAAATAAAATTGATATATGAACTTCACAAATGGTTTTCATCATGGATAAATATCAGATATTAAAAAGTCTTAAATCAGTGCTCTTTTCTTTCTAATAGTTTTCAGACCGATGTACGTTCGTAATGAAATCTTTCAAATTGATCGAATCTACATAAATAACCTATTTAAATATGATTTTATTTAAAATTCAAATTTATGCAATTAACTGTAACCTTTCATATACGTCTTAACATGTAATGTTCCAATCTGTTTACTTAGGTAAAAGTTAAATAAGCTTAAATCAACAGATAGTGATGTTATTAGAGCACTTAAATATAGTTTTGCTGTCTATATATTTGCATAAAAGTACAGCATGGTTATTAACCTCATGAGTTTTAATGCAACATAGAAGAAACTAAAACTTTTGTGTTGGTTTCATTGCAGAACAACTGAACCGAATACAATTTACTTTAGTGGAAATGTTAGTGACGGGATTAGTTCAATGTCAGCAGAAAATCAAATTGGTGATGTTAGAATTGTTGGAAAATTTACTGTAAGTAATAATGTTTTTTTACTTTAAATTTACCTTCATATAGCATACATTAACATTCACCTTGGCAATATTTTATTACAATCTCTGTTATTATTATTTGTGTAAGAGTCTTTGAAACCTATACCACATCTCCCATCTACCTCATTTGATAGTGATTTACAGCCTTATCAAACACTTTCTCATTTCTATCCATATTCTCGAACCTCTAAATTCACAATCTTCGATTGTCTTTATAAATATATTGTTCTTTTATGAAACGAAAATTAATCCTTACTTTATTGATTGATTAACAAAATAAAAAAGTGTATTAGACAATACACATTGAAACATTAAAACTATCCCACTTTCTTTTGAATCACAAACATACTGAAAAGTAATTTTGTTTGAATATAGTTTAATTTATGCGTCTGTTGTTAATTATAAAAAAACTGTATACTTTAATTAAAATTTATTTAAGTCAAGTTATTAGGACTAACATAACTAATTCACTTAGTGTTGTTTTACTTGTATCTTCCCATTGTTATTTAGGACTGCAATTGATCAGTCTCATGTAACATAACTAATGTCATATTCAATATATTAATTCAAGTTTAAAACATTCATTATGATTTTGTGTTACAATGAACTATTTGAACGTGTTACTTCCAATGCCAAATCAAATAATCTTAAGAGTGTTATCAGAATAAGTAAAATAAGTAACTATAAGCATTGCAAACGTTTTTAGTTCACTCTTGAGTAACAAACAGTACAATGAACTGTAAACAGAATGACATCATTGACTTACTAGGTCTTAGTTTATCTAGACGTTTTTCTTGACATAAAATTCTGAAAGAAATGTAGAAAAAACAAAAACAATCTAGACAGAAAATTGTCCGCCATATTTAATCTCCATCGATTGTAATTTGAAATTATATTTATAGAATATGAATGAAAGTTTTCAGTCGATAAGGTTTTTAGAATTTATCATAAAATAAAAAAGATTAGTTCAGTGAAAAGTTCTCCTTTTTTGGGTAAATTTATTTTCAAAACTATACAACAGCGAATATATACTTAGCTTCCAAAATGATAATAAAATTTTAACAAACATGGCAATTGTGTACAAAAGAAACTTGTATAGCATCTTCTACCATGATCTCAATCTCTCTTATTGTTTTCTTTTCATTTCCATCAGTTTCCCTTCTCTCTTCTTCTCGAAAGAACTTTAACCCTCAATTGACTTGTTCCTGTTTCTATAATCCTCATAGTTACAATTCATCTCAATTTCCAAATGTTTTCTTACCGCACTGAGTCTTCCTTTTGCAATTATAATTTCTTTATTCATCTTCTTGATGAATTCCCAAGCTCTCAGCAAAGAAATGAAAGTGAACATCAACTGTGATACGAAGGTTCATCCAGTTGACGAGTCCCAAATGTGACAAAACGCGAGTCCTGGATTCCACTGCTAGCCACTATCCATCTTTGCTTATAATTGTCATACTGTTTTAAAAACCCGGTATAGTTCATCAGCTTGAGGAAGCATAAATATCTACATATCTAACTGAGCTACTATCCCCCCATGTATGTAAGTATAATGCATCGTCGATCTAAATGAATAATTTTTTGCTACAATGAACTCTCCAATAGTTAGGACTTATGACATATATTGAGATATGAACTCAGCATTATTATTATAAATATTTACAAATAAAATTACAAAATATTGTTTACTCTGAACCTTAAGCGCTCATCATTCTAATCAACAACTTTCATTGTAAAACTATCCAATATCTTATCATTATGTTATTAAAATTTAGATCTACATACTATTCATCTCAGATATGGGAAATTAACATAACTTTATGACTAAAATAGTTTGTTATCGTTTTTGTTCCTTTTTTACCACCTATACTTCTCCCTATAATGACTAGGGTTCTTAGTCAGGAAGAGAGAAATAACAAGAGTTATTAGCCAACTAAAAGTCAAATAACAGTCTAATTTGACTACAGACTGTGTATTCATTTCATCCGAAAAGCGTTCATACTATGAATTATTGATAACTCTGGAACACGTCACTAGTTAATGTAAATGACAGTGAACAAGTCTTCCATCAAAAATCTCAATTTTCAAACCATTGATTTCAAACAAAATAGTTATTTCTAGTTTAATTTTAAAACTGTTCTCATACAAAAGTGTTATTTACTGGCGAATCAGAGAAACGGTATCAAGTAGCTGTTTTAGACTGTCTTTCTAAAGCTATTTTTATATATAAGTACTGTGCTGTTTCTTACTGTTCTTGTTATTGTGTTGCGAAAAAAGGTACGAAATTTACGTAAACATAGTTTAATACCAGCATCACGTCTGATCATCGATTGGCCTTTCGAATTCGCTGGGCTCATCAATGAACCACATGGAAAATATCTTCTCTACTTGCTTGAAAATCCTTATGTAATTCAACATGCGCTTCCAATTCCTGGTCAAACAGTAGACAATGAAACTAGTGTTGTTTGTGATTCTAAGGCATTACAGAAAGTTGTTAATCCACATAATTTCCGAGTGAGTTCTTTCCAGTGGTTCCTATCATTTTTAGGTTAATATAAATGACTGTTGTTTTGTGTTCTGAGGTATGTCCGATTTTGCTACGGATATACAAGCTACTTATACACAATCCTATCCGGGTACTTGAATGAAAAAACCAAGAAGTAGGAACCATTAATTCAAAGCCCCAAATCGAAGATCTATGCACAACTCGTTTTTAAATACGTACCCGTTTCCCTCAGAAAATTAACACAGAGATTCAGCCAACAAGATGTATCTGCTTCCTCAGAAAGTTGACTCAGATCTTGGCCAATAAAGCGCACATGTTAGCATTTCTCACTTACCATGTGGTCTTAAGACAATATGTCTGATTCGCTCATCGTATCACGCTGCTTTCAATTAATCTCTGTACTGCTTTTTATCATACAGTATTTTAAGATATCAATCACGTTTTCTTCAAAGTAAAGCAATGAAATCGAAAATAAAGAAACATGCTTCTGAAACAAGAAAAAGTGGATATTTTTGAGTGTATATAAATAACTCAAATTTATGAATGGATGATAACCTAATCGTTTAACTTTTTACCTTGATTCAAATGATAAATAAGTGAGATAAAATATAATTCGAAATTACATTAGATAGGGAAAAGTAAATAGTAAATCGCATGTTAGAAAACTAAAAAGCGGAAGATAACTTCTTTAGAAAAGCATCACACGCTACTGCAAAAGTAACTGACTAACTAACCTCTTTTTTTAAAACACATCATTCAGATGAAGTAATTTTGATGCCACTGGTTGGTAAAAAAACAAGCTATAGTAGAACTGAAATATCCTGTATTTTGTACTGTTATAAGTTATCAGTCATAAATTTATTCTGAAGATATGACTCAGTAATCCCTGCTCCCTGTCTTCCACAAAGTTTTGAGAACAGATTTATATGACCGATTACTAACTGACGGATCCCAGTTTTACGTTCATTTTGATCTAGGAATTCGAAAATTATTCTTAGTCCTCAAGCAATAGGTATAGCTCATAACTTCATGCATAAACCAGTACGATGTTGTTAATCAGGAATTTGTTGCATTATCGTAATCATCATTGACGTAACTATTGTTTGAAGTTATGTTTAATGTATCATTTTACATAAATACCTACTTTTAATGGCACTTCTGTGAGATTCCTAAGTTACATTACACGCGATCAAAATGCAGTGACTCTATTATCCCAACATACTTTATTCGTTATAGTCAATAATCAAACAACGTCTTATATCTTAGTATACTGCATTACTAATAATGATCTGTCAAAAAATACCCAAACCGAGATCGAGAAACTCCATTTTATTCAGGGTATATCAATCTTATTCTATTCATTTGTGGAAAAACATTTGCCTTATCTTCATTTGTCCAGTGAAAATCATCTCTGTAAGTCCTCAGTAATCAGATTTTTCATATACCTCGTCGTTTGACAGTCTATCACTGCAAACCTACCTAACCGACCATTTTGGATTTTAAGAACAAAGTAGAATCAGTAGAGGTTAAGTCAAGCAAGTGATAAAAATAATCTAATGTGATGATGATATAATGTACCAGGAATTTACGAATATTTACTGCTGGACACTTAAAGGCTTTGTCATGGTTCAATAGCCACTTATTGGGATCGTATAAATTTAGTCACATATGATCCTTCAGGAGTTTAATATCCTTCACACAAGAATTATTCACCGTCTGTTCTTCAGAAAGTGATTCATAGAGGCTAACATCATAAATATCGTATTTATTGGACATATGAGTTGTATGAGATGATCTATCCTAATGTTATAGTTTTCTTTCGAAGATATTTTCTAGATTAAGAAAATCAAATGATGGTGTACCAGTACGAACTGCGTCAATTAATATCCCTTCAAACAACCCTTCTCCGTATCCCCCACTATCAGACAAAATGATCTTGGAACCAGTTCCTGATCGTTTAGCAGATTCAAAGAAATTAGTTGATCGAAAAATGACTACAATTGTAAGTATTGATCTATGTGAACATAGTTGTAGATTGTTTACTGTTCTTAAGAATTACATTATTCGTTCACAGAATGGTGGCTAATGTTGTATTGTTGAATTGTTAGTTCTAAACTCCTAGTTTCATTACAATCCTCCAGATTAAGCGGCTGAACATCATAGAACATCAAAACATCGTAATTCTACAGGAAGTCAGTCGCATCTGGCTAAGTAGGTTTTCCTGCTGAATTATTACAACTACTGAGCATTTTAAGAAATAAGTTTTATTTCCATTTTTAAAGTCTGTTGATCCAATGAATACTGGTCATGATTCACTTACATCAAATAATTTTTGATTTGTAATCTCTACCTAGTCCTTCGCCTTAGCAACAGTACGTTCACTCACTTTCTTCAGATAAATCATTTGCTTGTTAATAACTTATTTTGTCAGCCAGCGATTGGATCATTTCCTGCATTTTATTATTATTATTTTCTTAGACTTTAGTTAATTTTAAACATCTTATATTTTTAGAGTTGTTATAATGGACGTATACGATGTGTACCAATTATTTGTGATTTAGGCAAGTTATCCTATAAAGCTGGACCAATTACACTTGAATTTATCGCTAGACTCTGGGAAAATACAATGCGAGAAGTTAGTTTTGAATATTCTCACCATTTTTTATCATTTCCTAAAATTATAGTTTGATTTCAATGACTTTGTCGTCAAAATTGTTTAATCACTACAACATAACTTATTATCTTATTTAATAATGATTAATGATGTATACTAAAAACGTTTGTAATGGTGAATCAAGGTTAACATTTGTCAACAAACAATTCATAAGTCAATATATACTCTACAAAGTTAAATAATTGTTAACTGGACTAATCATATTAACTTGTTATTTCTAGTGTTACATTTGTTTAAACAATAGCTACGTTTGTAATTTGAGAGCTGACAAGTTTATAGATTTTGATTAATTATCTGTTTTTGTAGATAAATTGGCCTACCTAACAAACTTTCCTGTTTACTACGTATGATTTCTAATGATTTATTCTAATAGGAATTAAGAAAAATACCGATTTATGAATTTTGATATAAAAATCCATAAAAAATTACATCAGCCTTCAGTGAAATATACTCTTAACAATTTTACTCGGAAACCCTCACCCCTTGATGACAGTGAATGAGAACCGCTTGACAAGGGCTATAAACCTGCAGTTTTATGAAAGCATCATGAATCCTACCCATTTTCATAATAACGGGATATTGTTTTTGAATAACGTTTCTTAATCTAACTGTACATAAAAACAATCTTGTTGATGTTATTTTAAGTGCCCTGATACGGCCGAGCGTGAGGAGAGTCAGCTCTCCTGCTCGAAATACTCTCATACAGTCACGCGTACACGGTCACTACCGGGGAAGTCCTACTTAATGTCTTCTCATAGCAGGTGTGTTTTTGTGTGAAATTGAGAGGACGAAAAGAGAGTTGGCCGGTTAGTGGAGATGGAGGATCCAACTATGAGAATCAGAAAACCCTGATTCCGAACCAATGCTGTACATGGGTTTCAGGATCATAAGGAAAAAATGTCGTATGAACCTATTGTTGGTCAACAGCTGCCATGAAGCTGCATCTCCTAACGTTGCTAAACTGCCTTGTGGATTAGACCTCTAAATCAAAGGTTCGGTGTGTGGCCCCCTAAGAAAACCACCTTTGGTTTGGACACCCGGTCAGTATTCCGGCCCTCACACAAACTAAATGACGAAATGTGGCGCACATATATTCGGTGCCTCCTTCTGCCAATGTTCATGTGCTTGAATAAATTTACTTAACATCAATTTCGGGTTCATTCTTCTTTTTTGTGTCTACCACTTTAATTTGTTTAGTAAAAACTTATAAATTTAATGTCCCCTTGTCGTTTCTGAAGCTTATTATTTTCTTACTGTTATCATCTTGCAAGTGGGTATTGATGAGACATCAACCACCCAAATTTTACAACAACTTGGGTGGTAGAATCACTTAATTAATAAGAAATATTGGACACAGTTTGATTTTTTTACAATTTAGTTCGTGATAAATTAGTTTTTTGATGATAAAATCTTCCTGTGATAATCTAAATTTTAAAGAATATAATTGTAAATTTGGAGTCGTTGTAAGGTCCTATAAGTGACTTGGAAGCATTACAGAGTCAATAATGTGGGAGTCACTTGTTTCAATTGTCACGACCAACACTTCGCTTTCACTCTTTTTTCATAATACAATACTTTAAATAATAATAACACAGATAAACTAATAACAAGACCCATCAGAACAATCAAACTATACAGAAATTTAGATTAAATCAAAATCCTTTTAACAAATAGATAAATTTCGTAGCTAAGCTGGTATGTTGAGAAATGACCATTTGGATACTTTTTGTTTGGATATTGTTGTAACGTAGGCTTCTTCTATTCAGTCTTAATCCTTATATATATATGTATATATATATATATATATATCTTGGTATATGGAGATTTACACTCTGGACATTTTTCCCACACGACACCTTTTTTCGATTTTGTGCGTGAATGCACAAATATAAATTATCTTCGTAGATATCTGGGACACAGGAGTTGTTCAATACTCTCAAGTTTCCAGTGATGCACCAATGTTAACTCTTCTTCGGCATAGTATTGTCGGATACTTCACTTCACTCGACTAATCGAATCAAAATACAACTTGAACAAAACGTAAATATATTCCAAACCGCTAAGTCTGATACTGGAATGCTTAATCCTGACTTTCTAGACGTTTCCTACAGCCTCAGACTACTTCTACACTTCAACTCAAATAATAGTGAAAAGGTTCGAAATCTTAGTAGAACCTTTATTCCAAACTTAGTTTTGTACAGAAAATCGAGAGTATTTATGGAGTTCTGTGTGACCTTGCTCTTCTAAGGCTTTTTGGGAACATAAGAAAAATAGTGACGGCATAGGTATTTACCTAATCAAAAATGTGGCACGTGACCCGTCAATTTCTGGATATTTTGGAGACGCTTCTATTCATTGCTGATCAGATAAACATTTTCTAGATTTTTCTGGGATTCTAGGGACTTTGATGATCATCATTTTTGAACTCTCCGACGAAAGTAAAACAGCAGGTTTAGGTTAATTGAAATCGTAAGAAAATGTCAATGTACAGACAAACCCGGCACATAAATATTCTAGAGTCTTCTCAGTTCATCCACTAGCGCTAACTAGTTGAAAATGAACCGTTTAGCTTGCTCCAGCGCGATCTTTACTGAAGCATGCTTTGATCAGGTTTCTGTTCCGCCGACATCCAACTAATATCAAAGAAAGCAAGATCAAACTTACTTTGAAACATTTTACGTTATGGACTGGCCTTAAATAAACAACCAACTGAAACTTAGGAGTACTGAACAATCGCTTTGAACTAGATATGCATAAAAGCAATTTGGATATCTAACCAGAAATTAGGAAAACAAAGGTAACAGATAACAACGAAATCTGTAGATTATACATTTTTGTGCCTAGTGATATACAAATAAGTATAAATCAATTAGCAGCAAGTGAACTAATATAATTCGTTCATAAGTAAAATTGATTTCACAGTATAACGAATGAACTGAAGTTAGATATATCAACTATGAATTTCCAACGCGTTCGTCCAAAGGTTAAGTTCTGGCTGTGAAACCTGAAGACTATGGAAGTGACCCCCATTTGTGTCGTGGATGTGCAATACAGGAAAAATCACATTTTAGGACGAAACAGTTGTTCAGCTCTGTTCTATTTTTTGTGGTTGTCTAAGGCCACTTCGTTATATTAACTACGAAATTCAACAGTTACTATGAGCACCTATATTGATAACTCCAAATAATTCATATTACTAACGAACTTTAATTAGGCAGCTAATAGAAACCGGAAAAGCACTAAATAGCTGTTTTGTGCTATTATCATGGGACTTCTCAACAGTGAGCATCTATAACCCAACTAAAGAAACCACTGACCTCCAAGACCTTCGGTTAGTTAACTGGCTAGTGCTATCTGGTTTTCAATAGTTATTTAACTTTAAAAAACGGTCGATAATATAAGCCAAAAAATGGAACTATCTTTACAAATCTCCTATACTAATAATTTCAAATAATATTCACCTTTCGCAACTTGTCTTTTATTTATTCATTTATTGACTATTAGGACTTTTTAAAAGTATTTTTAACTAAACTACATCTGACTGCAACATGGAAAGCTGATGTTAAATATGGCATTGACCTTGGCGGTTCGGATTATGCACAAGATACAGTAAGTCAATGGAATTATACACAGATTTTATCCGTGTTTCCACTTGATTTTATTTTTCAATTAATTATGCATTATTTTAGCTTTAAGTAATTTAATAATAATAGTGATGATGAATTTTGTCCTAAATAAATAACAATTGTTAACATCCTTAAACCTATTATAACTGAATAATATATTTAAATTATAACTAAATAAAAAATGAAATACTGTGATATATTCTACTTGTGTCTGTCGACATAAGTAGTATGTAACACCGACTAGATGTGTTATGCCTGTCAAAAGAAGGTTGAGAAGAGTGAACTGAAGAAAACAGAAGAAGAAATGGAAAGGGATTAAGAATTGAAAGAATCATCAAGGATGTAAAGGACAATAGATGAAAGATTTGTAAATAAAGTATTTGATGTCTGGTTGTCATATTTTACCAAAGAACTATGCAATTTTTTGGCCAAGAAATTTATCCATCTATTATTGAGTTGTCATTACATTAAAATATCAGTCAAATAACGAGTATGATAGTATTTTGAGCCTGTTGCACTCAGAATACGCAAATAGTTGAAATTTAATTTATCTTTATAAGTTGAAACCGACGAAGGAATTCCAATGATAGATTTCATAAAGATTCTACCCAAACCAACTGTTATGTATACTTTATTGTTTAAATTCGATAGATTTCAAAATTAATGTAACAACAGCTTGCAGTAATCAGCAGTTAAACAGATGAGATTTCAGATTAATTTCGATAAAATGATACTTCAATGATTGCAACAAATACTAAGTGTATTGTATTTTACACGTCAAAAAGAAAAGTTAAAATAAGTGTCAGAATTATTAATCTTCACATTGGACAGTTTTATAAGTGAAATTCTTCTTAGTATTTATTTTGAGTATCACAAGAAATTATTCTGTTAGAAACAATATTCCCAAGGTATTCAAATTACAACCCTACTTTATTTTACTGTTTATCTGATAAACTCTAAAGTATACTCGAAATTTGGACAGAGTAATCATAATAAATATACTCACTTCATTCAATACCAGATGTCTGATTACAGTAAAGGATTCTTATCATGAAATATATCATATTACAAAAAAAATTACTTTTCTTTATGTACTGGACTTGTGAATATTCAAGAAAATATCTATAGAAAAGTTTCAGAACAGTGATAAACTACTATTCATATTCACCCGTAACTTTTTTTACAATCTACATTGCTGCTATGACATCTCTTTTCATCTTTGGAATATATTTGATGTCTGAATTCTATAGTATTTGCCTTTTGTGTTTCTCCGGATTACAAAAGAGGAGGGAAATATGTAAACTATCACGATGGATCTTCTTAAGTTTCTCAAAAATTAAATTCGCAAGAGGTTGTAAACATTCTATGAAAGTGTGTAAATATATGTCATTGGTAAAAACGATTGGTCAAGTAAATTGAAAACAGTAACATATATGGCAGTAACTGCCTGTGTAGTAAAATAGTTGACCCATGAAATTGATGAGACTACTACATTAGATTATCATTGATTTGTATATCATATTGAACTTCTGATGATAATGTGTTAGTGAAAACTTACCTGACTGTTTGATAATCGGTCAACATCAATGAAAAGGTTTAACACAAAATAAACCATGAATAATACAAGGATTTATAAACCGACTGATTCATTTTTTATTTATTTAAACACAAAAATATTAATAAAAAAAGGGAACCAAAATAAATATGCGCTACAAAATAAGAGAGGGTGAGTGTAAAGAGATAGGGGAAGGAGGGCGAGAATAATTTAAAAACAAACTAAATAAATGAAAAGAAACAAGTGAACAAAGGTAGTATACCATTAGTAAGGCAGTTCAATCAAGAACTATATTACCAGAAAGAATTTTTTTCAATTAAAGTTCCTCTCATCTTTGTAAAGTAAAAGAAAATTACAGGAAGACTTTTACTGGCTTTTATTCTATCAATATCGGATCATGTCTCAGGTTACTGTGTCGGGCTATTTGTAGAACCTCAACTACAGTCATGAAGGGCCAACAGATGCCAGTCCTGTACAACTTTCCTTCATACCACGGTACCATGTCATACATTGACCATCTCTCCGTTTTTCTCAAGCATTTCTAGCGTCGTAAAACAATGCATGATGTAGAATTCACGGGACCGACAAAATGACTCGTTTTTCTAATTGAGATTATTTATCGGACAACTTTATGGAAACGTAACATTGAAAATATGAAATTATTATTATTGTTTTATCTAAATGACACCACAGTAGCTAGAAATACATCCATGTTTGAAAACTAGGAAGCAACGTGAATACATGTAAATAAATTATGATAAATACAAATGTATTGGAAAAATAGTGTATAACTTGCAATGACTTTTAAACAGCATTGTAAGGCAGTGATGACATTTTTAAAATGAATTTCAAAAAACCTACTTATTTGATCGAACTACACATGTTTACGATAATATTAATTTATTCAAACATTATCGGTACCTCAATTGTTCTCTTCAATTGCCTATATATATTTGAATAATGATTATTATCTTTAATTCTGAGCTACTAATCGTAATTACTTTAATTTGTATTCAACTAATCTAAACTATTTTCAACTGTTTCAAGTTAATATAAACTGGTTTTAAATGACTATTAATGAAGTCCATTAATGTTGTTGTATTTCATAGAATAGATTGTACAAATGTTAAATAATTATATTCAGCTAAATATTTTTTTTCTAGAAATCGACTAATATGAGGATATTTTTCATCACGATTTAACATTATTTGCACAATTCGTATAGACTGGGAAGCACTGAATAAATATTCGTTTTCTAATTTAGAAATGAAATGTTACAAAATTATATACTCCATCGGCGATCAAACTTTCAGACTAGGCTATCAAGTTTATTAACAAATTAGTCACTATTTCGATCAATTGTATTTGGCAAATGAACAGATCCTTATTATCAATAGCTGGGTTCTGATTGGGTAGCTGAATGATAATGTTTACCATAAAACTTAATGGTCCTTGATTTGACCTTATATCAAGTGAAGGGTTTTGAACCAGAACAAATTAAATATTCAGTTCACTTACATACCTAGGATTTAAAAATGTTAACCTATCCAATGGTTAAACAAAATAATATACTTGGTAAAACTTAAACTAACCAAATACTTATATAAAATAAGAAAATCGATAGCTCAAAAGATTTTTAAAGTTCCTTTTGTTCCCAATGCCGTAAACACCGATAAAATTTTAAGATGAGTAATATATTCTGTCTTCTAAAGTAATCACAACTTTATGAAATAGAATTTCACCATATAACTGATACAAATTCCTTTCATCATTAAATTAATATGTATTTGCGTTTTAATAAAATTATGTTCTAATCTAAATAATAAATGGAGTACCATCATTTAAAGTTATTGTAAGATTAAAAATGCCTTCTTACATAGAATGAATAAAATATTCACTTGAATATCACGGTGAAGATAAACTGGTACTCATGTACAAATCTCCAGTAATTAACAAACAGTTCATATTTAATGATTGATATCAGACCTTGAATCTCTTTTGTAGACTATTTCTCTTAGATTGTGGCCAAATATTGAATAATAATAATAATAATAATAATAATAATAATAATAATAATAATAACAGAAAGTTCATTATTAGGTTTACGGATATTTCTGTCCTCGAAATTTGTACAATCATAGTAATAATAATATTCTTCTTAATTTCTGTTTTTATCTTTTCTTTTGTTGAAACGAAATGAAAAATTGTACTCATTTTGTCATTTCCCTAATTAATATGAATATTCTTATCATTTTTAAATTGAACGATACCGCTTACTATTTTTTTTAAAATATGATTTGTCTATAAAATTATGTATATATCTAAAAATGAATATACGGATTTATCTATATCTGTTGTTTATCGACTGTTTGTTTATAGACATTTATCTGTGTTTCGCGTCATTATCGTCATATAACTGCATGTCGAAAAATATGGATATTTTCATTTGTTCACCGATTGTCAATTTCATTATACATGTACTTAATATTTAACCATACATTTTAGTGTTTTAAAGAATTTAGTTACTATAAGCTGACAAGTTGTATATCCGGTATTATAAACCATGAAATGGTCAGTATTAGTCAATTATATAGGTAGATGTTAGTATGTCTTATTTTTTAATATGTAGATAATGAATATCCGATCCGTTTACTTCTATGACTTTAAAAATGTATATTGTGGATATTTAGTTTGATCGAATTCACGATTTCCAAGTTTAACTGCAAATTGATTGTTCATTTAGTATTCAGGGTTTAAACACTCTTCAACTTCAGTTAATCCATAAATATAAATTTACCAACCTTCGGTAGTGAAATGGTTATTCATCCTTACTTACAAATCCATTGTTCCTACAGATCATGCACGTAAGTTAAAAATATTCGGGACTTACAAAAGTACGTATTGGTGTGATGATAAATTTTTCAACAACTATGATTATTAACAAGATTCTAGAAATACTATCCATCATATAATTAATGAGCGCAGGAAATTAAAGAGAGGATAATTGATTTTCTAGTCTTTTACTAATATCGAAAATGGAGAAAGTATCACTGATGACACACAACAACTGACAGAAGTCTGAAATTTAGATCATCAGAAGCTGACTCAATAGTCAAAATGTAACGCTGTAGGTATCAAGTTTGATCTCTAGTGCGATCATAAATATGCACTGTTGAGGAGTCACAAGCTAGTACAAAACATTTGTCATATCTTGTATGATTTCCACTAATAGTTCACTCACCAACTGAGGTCGACAGATGTGGCGAAGCCTACCTAAAAATTGAGACAAACTTCACAACTAACTTAACTCTCAGTATAGATTTTAATTAATTTAAATTTTTCATACCATCATTAATTTCACTGATGATATAGAATTTCATATTAAAGAATCACTGTATTTGAACACTGATACCGTAGATTAAAAGCATCTTTACTCGTATTCAACTTATGTTGACTATTTAAAATCCTGATTAAAAATTTTACTGTTGATTAATTTACTTTCTAAAAAATGCAATGAATAAAGATGTGTAATCATGTATTTGTCTAACATTTTGTTCGCTATATTTTTCTGCATGCGGACACATTCGTGTGTTAAAATTCAGTACGTGTGAAACACAACTTGTATATTGTTATTCATTTGATTTTACTGGTAATTTTCTTACTACGATTTTTAGATTGATTTACTCAGATAGCTTGTACAAAATGCATCATTGTCAACCACATGTAATAGTTACAGATTTTCACCATAAATCTTGTACAACAATGGTGATTGCTATCAGCTTGAATAAACTCTTAAAAGATAACCATGTCTTTGATTAAACTTGTCAACAACAGTTATTGCCCTGAGTTAACCACGACCTGCCTATCCAGAATTGTAGACAGCTGAGTTCATTATTTTAATAACCACTTTTGATTCGAAAGTTAATCATAATATGGATTATTATATATTTTACAATCTTACGACTAGGTTTAATCCATCCTCATCAAAACAATTTCTAATTTGATTCGTTTTTATATTGGTTGTTTGGATCTTCCCACTGATGTTTAGAACTGCAATTGATCAGTCTGTTATCGGCATATTTGCACCCAGTGCAGATTGTCTAAATATTGTTTTAAGTCGCAAGCACTATAAGCAAAGATGGATGGTAGCTAGCAGTGGAATCCAGCATGCGCGTTTCGTCCTATTTGGGACTCTTCAGATGGTCGCACCCGAGCGCGTCCTGGATTCCACCGCTAGCCACCAACTATATCTGCTTATAATTCCTCATTTAATAATTTCGCTTTTACCGTAATTCGGTATGAAAACTTTTTCAGATTAAATATACAAAATCATTGAAAATGTGAAGCATATTCTTACATTAAAGTAAGAGTATTGATATCATGCATTACCAGAAATAAATTCCATTTACTAAACGTGAAAAATTTGTATATACTCGCATGTTCCTTTCATATACACAAGCATATATATTAATATCATCAAGAATTTTTAAAAAACTTCATTTGTTTAATGATTCTATTGCATGGAAAGATCCTTTCGTTTTTCAAAAGCCCTTCCTTCCCCTTCTTTACCTCTCTAATTCGAATATTCCTCCTTTACATTGCTATATTTCCATTTGTTGTCATGCGTTTCCAGTTTAGTTGGGTAATTACGAAAATAATAAAACTACTACTCCACTTCTCTTATGCTTTGTTATCCAACTCATTTTTTGTTTCTTCTTAATTCTACTAGATTGAAGTTCATATATTTAATAATTTAGAGCAGAAACCAATCCCTCCAAAATATATGGCATTATACATAGGATTAGCTGTATTTGGAGGTTTACTATTGTTATCTATTCTAGTTATTATACTTTATAAAGTAAGTTGACTATCAATATATTCATAATATTTGAAAAATAATCAAAATATTCATTATCAAGTTGTGGATATTGTTAAGTTCAATTCAAATCATGAACCAATTAGGGTTAAACTATCAGTGGAGCTAAACCGTATCAGGTGAGGCAGTTACCCACCGAAACTAATGGAAGTGGTTGCGCATTGCCCTGGGTTGATTGGAGTTAGACACTAACACCGTTGGATTCCGGCCCAGTGGTCTACAGGTTAAGGGTTCACGCGTGACCCCGGAAGTCCTGGGTTCGAGTCCCATGTGCTAGATCGTGGATGTGAACCGTCGGGGAGTCCCTTACCAGAACGAAACGACATTCCAGTGCTTCCAGATTTTCACTGTTGGTTTAACTTAGCGGTTCATGCTTTCGTTGGGTCTTGTTTTTCTAGTATTAATTCTAAAAATCATTATTTGTTGTTTACAGCATATGATACATGCATTATTTTGGTTGATAAACTGATTCCCCCTTAATTGGAAGTAGTAACCATTAGAGCTGGGAAAGAGAAAACATAATGAATTTCGACCACAACAATTATCCCAAAAGTTAATGTAATTCAGCTTAATTATTAGTAAATTTTAGACTGATTGATTTGATTAAGGACTTTTAATTTTTGTCTAAATATTCAAAGAAATTTATTGAGTTAAGTATTATCTCACACTGACAACTAATAGGCAATAATCATTTCTATCTGTCATATCAGTAAATCTTAGCTAAACAGTAAAGTGGAAACCACTTCAAAGAAGAAATCTTGTTCAGTTTATGCTTGTAAACAGTGAATTGTTTATTGCCGTGATTCTAGAAAAGGCTACCCCTAAAATACACTTGGGAATCGCATAAAAAGCCTTAAATAAAAGTATTCGTGCAAAGAATCGATAGGTGATTAGAATTCATTCACCAAAAAAGTCTGAATAAAGTATAAATGAATGAAACTTAGGAATTCCAATGATTAACTCTACCTTGATCAAATCAAAACTATCCTCATTTGTTAAGAATAGAGATGACTAACAAGGATAAAAGCGTATAAATGTTGTCAATAATAACAGACAATACGAATTTAAACATTGAACAAGGTTGGTCCTGATCCCACTTGCCAATATCAAACAAACAGTTAGTGATGTCATCCGAATAAACTTTTAGTTTTCGACTTATCTATAACAACTAAATAGCTTATTTTTATTTACAAATCTAGTATACAAATAATATGAATTTGATTAACATAATATTAACTTGCATTATTTTAGGCCGGTTTCTTTAAACGTAAACGTTTCATGCGAAGACGAACAAAAGTACCGCCTACAGAACCAACCCAAAGACTTGGTCAATACACTTCAACTGAACCAAAGCAAAGACAGCCGTTGATTTCACCAATTCAAACAACCTATCATGACAATAGAAAAGTCACTTCAAGACGAACAAATTATCATCCAGTGCCTAACACACAGGAACCAGCCTATCGTAGGACACCTTATTCACCTTCATCTGACTTTCCTATTCCACATAAATAGTAGATACTACATACACTGATTATTATAGATATAGATTTTTTTATTTTCTAACTTAACAATTGTCCTTTACGGGTAATTCAGAAGACTATCAGTAATCACAACGATATATATATATTTCTCGACTGCTGCTCCGAAAATATACACCACAACTACAAAATGTCCAAATCCTATCATTTTACTCAGAATACTTTTCTATTTGCTGACAATGTTTTCTCTTACCAATCTTTTTGTTACTCAATATGCCAATTATCAAATCAACGAAATAATTGCCAACTTTTTCTGAGATGCTTTCTATATTACCTATATATATATATATATATATATATATATATATATATATATATATATATATATATATGTGCTGTTCATCCGCACACACGCACATACATATCTAATTGCTGTGCACAAATGAGGCTTGGCGAGCTAATTGTTTGACTTTTTCAAATTTGTATCAATTAAACCTACTACTGATGGTAATAACAGTAGTATTAACGATGACAGTAAACTAACCTATACTAGAACATTTTCAGATGACATTTTTATATATACAAATATCTGGATACAGCTCTGATAGTGAATTTCAACAAATATCCTTTGTTTTGGCTCAATTTTTTATAAATTTTATTTTTCGACGGGATGAAATCTTTTCAATTTATTTCAGGGGAGAC